AAGCATGACCGACTGCCCATCCGATGGCGTGCAATGATGGTCGCAGAGAAATGTGCGCATAGGTATGGAACTGGCTCGGAGACCGCGGGTTGCAACGCCCTGAAGGGTGATGTTCGATTTTTTGACAACAGAGATTTCCCTTCAGTTTTCGGAGAGTGGAATTGGGCCTAATGTTGTTTCCGCCAATCCGATTTAATCTCAGGCGGATTTATTGGCTTTGCCAACGCGACCACTGTTTGTTCTTCGCGGAGTAACCATGCCACATTCCGATGCTTCCAACGGCTCTGTAGCCATCTGGGGTACGCAAAAACCGATCAACAGTCGCTTTTCTCCGCTGAGTAGTTTGAATTGAATGAATTCCCATCTCGGATCTGTCATATTCATTGTGATTTCAGAGCTGGCATTCTACATTTATCGTCTGGCTCCCGACCTCTTTTGATCTCGGGAGGCCGAACCAGGCACTATTACACGCAGCTGTAGGAGGAGGAATGTTTCCCAATAAGCTACGTTCCTCTATTTTGATTGCGAAACAGTGCCAAGGATTTTCGTCACAGTTACCCCACACTTTCTCTCCCAGCCTTTGTCCATGGATTTTTACCGACCTAAGGCTCCTCGGCAACGCGTGAACCTGATCCTTGGTGCCCATTCAACCGGCCGGTGACCTCGTTCCATTCTTCCATACCTCGACTTAGATATCATGGGACACGGAAAAAACGCTACTTGGAGTCGGCGCACCCCACGACCCAAGTATTAAAGCCCTCCTTGTTCTACTTTCCGGACCACCGTCTTATTTCCTCCTCAACCAGGTCGACCTATGCGGCCGTAATTCTGCTCTTCTCATGTACCCTGCTCGCCATATACTTGCCATTGGACTTCATCAACCTTGCTCCTCGCCGCGTCAAGCTCCCACGGTCCACTGGCCTTCCTATAATCGGGAACCTCTTCCAGGTGCCTAAGAATACGAGATCCTCTCTTAATTAATGGACCTCCCGCGCTTTCAGATGAGAGCCGGGCATGCCCGGTCGCTTGCCTACTGGACTAAATTATATGGCGGAATGCTCAAGTATATTTTTTCGGATCTCAGAAGGGTTGGTTCTTACCATTTTTTCCCACCGCCAATGACAAGGCTTAGCCTAGACGAACGAGAAGCGGTAATTGTACTGTCGAACTGAAGCTTTGATGCCTTACATCTGCTATTTTGCTGTTCTAGGTCATCATCAACACATACGTGGGCGTGAACAAGACACTCATCCAACAGCGAGCTGCTTTCCAATCTCGCCCCGAGTTTAAGCTTTGGCATGGAGCTTTCACGAAGGCGTTAGATCCCGATGCCCCGACCACCATTGGCAGTGCGTCCAACGCACCGTACATCTTACTCTGCATCCTGACTCTGAACAGCAACCAAGTTCAGCGACGATATCACCAAATACAGGCGTCTGTTAACGGCCCAGACAAGCGCTGCCAAACTCACGAGGCTCGTTTATTGTGCGAAGTAATGTACTAGTCTACGGTGGCGAAACTCCCGACCTGCTGGATACGGACCGTGTTGAATACATCATGGCACTCGGAATGGAAGCCGGCCGGTACTTCATGTCTATTCGACTCGGATTCCCGCGCGAGACGCACGAGGACGTCGTTGTCGACGGTGTGTTCATACCCAAGGGCGTCCTCGTCGTGTACAATTCCTACCAGATCAATGGTGACCCACAGCGTTATGATTTCACGGAGGAGTTCGTTCCGGAGCGCTCAATGGATGGACACTATGGTCGCACAGACGTCAAGCAACCCAAGGTTGGAGTCCCACATCTCAATCATAGCGCCGGGCGGCGCGTGTGCATGGGCGTTGCAGTAAGCCTTCACTTATTCAGCAGAACCATTTGTTGACCGTCCATCGCCGCAGATGTGAACAAGATTTTCTCTGCCAATCTCGTTCTCCTCCTCCACTTCTTTAAGCTCGAACGTTGGTCTCTAGGTGATGGGGCCTGCGCCGTGTCTTCCCCCAGCTGCGCGCCGTGGGCGAAGCAAGCCTCGAGGTCCACTTACTCGACGGCCAGGTCTCTGCGTGCGATCCTCAAGCGCTGCCGTTGGCTGCCGAGATAACGCTGACGGCGCGCGATCCCAATGCGATTTCTCGTTGACTCATCGAAGGACATCGCGAGCTCGACCAGTGGGAGCGCCCTCACCCAACAGATGCGACCTTGCCTTCAGAAGGCGTCGATTCGGACATCCGGGGGCATTACTGAAATGAACATTATAATGAAAGTAGATATTTGAAATGCGTACCTCCAGTTATCTCAATCCTATATATGGACTCACGCTGACTTGAATTAAAGAAAAATACGCACGTGCTGGATATATCGAGTCGCTTTAAATACGGATCTTTGACCCACGCCAGGGCGGTCAAGATCACAGCACCAGTGCTACCAACCTTATCGGCAACTGTCGTCGCGCAATATTGACCTCTCGCTTGACGAGATTCGGATATCGTTTTCCAGCGGACAAGATTTAGATGTCTATTTCGGTCTCATGTAGAAAGTTGGTGGAGACGAAATTTGGTGGTTTCGCTTCGGACACGATGTCGACCGCTCAGCATTGCGAGGAGATTTTTGGAATATCTGGAGAGCATTCATTCATTGAGCCGGGGTGAACCAGACGGAGCATATATTCGCCGAAAGACAAATTCTCTATGAGTATACTCGTCCTGTGCCATTGTTTTTATTTCTGGCTGCCCGCTATATCTATTTATGCAATGACCAACTCAGTATGGACACGGAATGCCACGAATATGTTTTGTTCATCGGGCTGCCGTAGGCTAGCACGGCGCAGGTACAGACCTTGGCCGCGTTCTATCCGAACGATATCACCAAGGGCTCTCCATTCGACACGGGGGCGTTCAATGCGTTGAGTCCTCAGTTCAAGCGCATCTCAGCCGTCCCAGGTGATTCCTCTTTCCCTGGAAACCAGAACACTGAGATTAAGTTGTGTATGAGTAGGCCCGTAAATTGGTTGGTTCATTTCAAAATGAGTGTCCGACACCCACGCAGTGAGCAAACGCCTCAAGGACTTTCCCTTACTCGGCTCTGTGAGTTAGCTCTTCACTCTCGCATTGCGCTGAGAACTTATGTTGTGGAATAGTTCCACGCGTCCGACAAACTGAACATTTACTACGACGGCGAGCTCACAGACTACCTGATTAATTTCGCGACGAATTCGACCCGAGCGGGAGGAACGTCCCCAACTGGCCGGAGTATAGCACGACGACGACGCCGAACATGATCACGTTCTTGGACGGCGGCGTTGGGGCCATGGTATACCTCACCAACCCCACGCTCCAGTTTAGTATCCCATGCAGTTGGTGCGAATGAATTAATGGATTTTTTTGGCGGCCGGAGAGCTCAGCTCTCAAGTTTTCGGAAAACCAAGTGCTTTGCGTCAAAGCCCAATGTTCAAGTTTGGACTTAATCATTTCGCCAAGTTCAACCATGCACGTGATCGATGTTCAACCACGCCCGGAATCCGACATTCATGGACACCATCTGCAGCGTACAGATGGGTTTTCTTACTACTTGTCGCATATTAGATCTCAAATCACCGGGTTCTGTGGGAGGCGAGCGAGGGGAGGTGATTGCGTGCTGGTGGGAGATGACGGCCGGTTCGCGCCTTTCATGCTCGCTCAGGGCTGAATTTCATGATGCGATGGGTTGGGAGAGTAAAAAAATGAGTGTTCGACGGCGAGGTAGTGGGAACATATGAAGCTGATCACCCATGTTGGGCACCAGGACACATTATTCAGCCACGCACCGGATTCATGTTCTATTCCGTATTCAATAGATTTAATCAAGGAAAATGTCCTATTCTGATTTGATGGAGCGGAGGGAGAATGAGGAAAAAGGCAGGGGGTGCTCTTGCCGGATTCTCGCCGCGACGCAGCGCAGTTCAACTTGAACATGCAATTGTCACATCGGTCATGTCACGCTTCCCACGGTTTGATCACGGTACTGGTGCCACGCTGTACATGGTATGCTCATCGACACAAGTTCTCGAACGATCCAAAATCCAACGCACATCCACATTCCGGCAGAATGTGATGGCCGGCCCTCTTTGAAGGAGAGGAGCCTAGCATGGGGCGACTTGAAGTCTGAAGAACGACTCGGAGACAATCGAAGATCTCTAAGGAATCCAAACTCACCTCACCCCGACCCACATGCCAATCACCTAAAACACCCCTCAGCTGCTCTCTCAAGCTGCGCTGGCGTGCTGAACGGCCTTATCAGATTCATCACGGCGCAGTGCGGCAGCAGCGTGGGTCCGCAGTGGGTCCCGCGCACTTATTCCTCTCCTCACTCACAATCACACCACCCCACCCAGCCGAAGGCCTCTCTTTCCCACTCCTCGCATTTTCATTCCTAACCCACTGTCCTCGAGCTCCACGGCGTACGTGCTCATCCCATTCCATCCCATCCTCACCTCATCATCATCACCTAACTAACTCACTCACCCGGATCTCATCGACCTACCCCAAGGACGTGCGCTCAACCTGCACCAAGCGCGTTTCCCGGATCCTCCCCGAGAAGCAAGCCCCCTTCACGCTCCTCCCCGCGCTCGGCGGGGCGAAGAGTGCGGAGTACAAGGCCAAGATGCAGCCCTTTGGGCAGATACCCGTGCCTGAGGACGGGGGGTATGTGCTGTTCGGTGCGCCACCTTTCCTTGTGTATTCTGTTCTATCCCGGAGCGGGATCTGGTGTATGAAGACAATTTCAACTGGGTGCATACAAAGTCTACTCTGCTCGCGTGACGGTCACCCTTTCCGCAAGCAGGGAGAATAGAAGAAAAACCTTAGGCCCTGCTTGCCGTGTTGAAAGTCTCCCGCGGGAGAACCGGTTCAAAACTAAGATTCAACTTCAGGTCCATTGAGTCCTGCGTTTAGGAGTGGAATCGAACATGTACATAATAAAATTCAGCGAGAGATCACCAAGAAAAAACGGGACCTGCCAGAGTTATTCAGACACAAGGATTCGAACCCTGGATTACCTCTGATGATAGAATTCTGACTGACCAGAAGAAACCATGTTCCCACTACACCATGTCTGAGTTCCTTTCCCTTATATCCAGGCAGCTTTATTAGGTCGTTTAAAGAGGAATGCATTTTTTTTGCAAGAATGTGAAAATGGAAAAAGAAAAATGTATCATACACATGAATTCAGACACACGGAGTCAAAGTCAAACCCTGGAGTACCTCTAAACTGATGCACCCGTATTTTATGAGAAGAGGTTGTGTTCCAGCTACACCTTGTCCGATCCATTTCCGGTACATCCGGGCAGTTTTGTTACAAAGAAAAAGGTATGGGTCAACAGCACATTCAGACACAGGGATTCAAACCCTGGCTACCTCTTATGTCATTTTTTATCGTGAAGAATAGAGGCTGTGTTCCCACTACACCATGTCTGAGTTCCTCTACTCTCCATCTGAGCAGTTTCATTAACCTGAGATTCGAGTGTGATGAGAGGAGCTCCCGATTGGCGGCGCGGCGCGGCCGGATCCGGAAGCAAATTTGGCGGGTATCAGTGCCGAGCCCAGCTCGTGAGGTGTGCTTTGCGAGGAGCCCAATCTACGATGGCGTTGAGCTCGCCGTCATCATCGAGCCAGTTGCGGGTAATCTGTATCGGTGACCTTCTCAAATTAGCGCACATCCAGATTCCAGATCCATATCCCCGCGGGCGGAGATCCACTTCCGCGCTCGCAAGTGCAGGTCTGTATCCACGCGCTCGCAAACTTAATCCACATCCTCCACGCTCGCACTCCGAATCCATGCGCCTCGTTGCGATGAGCACGAAGGAACAGGTGTTGGTAATTCCGGGATGTGTGGGTGTGGGTCGGGTTGGGTGGCATTTTGTGGTACTTAAGTACGATGTAGGTAGGTAGGGAGAGGTGCGGGCGAGGCAAGCCGGCGACGGAGGAAGGTGCAAAGGGTGCGTCGGGAGGCGCAAGTGCATCGTCCTGTTATTAGTTTTTCCCCCAAAAAATGGATCTTGGTTGAATGTACACAGTCTTTGTCCGAGGGGGGATAATACCGCTGTGTTTGAAAGGGATGGAAAATATGTGACAGAAGAAAAAAGTGCTTTTACATCCAGGGATTCAGACACAGGGATTCGAACCCTGGACTGCCCCTATAATCAGCAAATTTTAACTAGAAGAAGAGCCCGTGTTCCCACTCCACCATGCCTGAGTTCCTTGCTAGAACAGCCAGATAATTTTGTCGGAATGTTTAAAGGAAAATGCAAGAAAAAGAAAGAGGAGGAAAAGTATAATTCAGACACAGGGATTCGAACCCTGCACTGCCTCTGTAAATTAACACCTGCCGAAATGCAAGCAGAAGAAGCTATGTTCCCGATACACCACGTCTGAATTGCTTCTCAGTACACCCGGGGACCTTTATGAGCTCTGAGCCGTTTGAGCGTCTGAATAATTGTAGACGGAGCGGGGTTGTCGTTTTTTCTTCGTGCTGTGGATGTTCAAACCCCAGAAGCGGGTTCAATCACACATTCCGCGCAGGGCGGTGAAGAAATGAAACAACACAAGACGAAAAAAAATTCTCCACCCAAATTCAGACACAGGGATTCGAGCCCTGAACTGGCTCTCAATTTTTACTCGATGTGATCCCCAGAATAGGGGGCTGTGTCTGAGTATCTTCTGAGATGCGTGGACTGGTTTTAGGGGCTCGGGTGATTGTTTGAATAGGTTTGTTCACAGTAGCCCTTTCCCCTTCCTTTTTGTTTTCCTTTTTCTCTCTTTTTCGATGTTCCATGTTTTTCGTCCGATTTTTTCCCCCTTTTCCATTCAGACATTCAGGAGGGTCTGAAAGCCAGGAAAACCAGATTTCCGGGTGCAAATTTGGCTGAAAGCTAATGAAAAGCAAGTTAAAAAGCAAATAAAAATGGCTTACTGTGAAGGGGTAGGTACGCGGAATTGGAAAAAGGAGAGCAAAAAGGGAACCTGATCTAACTTGGAAATCCTCTTGAATATTTGAGTACATTGTCTATTAGAAGGGTATCTGAGAGGCTAGGAGCTATGTAATCCGACAAGAACCAAGTCTAGAGGGATAGGCAGTCTGAAAAAGGGAAATGAAAATGACCAGAAAAAGATGTAAACCTGCCCCCGGTTTACGGACCGGTCACGCACGCTTACGTACAGTAGTTGTCCCTTGTCGTTTACCTTGTCCTCGTCGTACCTCGCGCTCGCCCGCTTGTCTCGCCGAATCATACCGTAGTCATGTTGACTTGTGTGTGATCTTTCCTCAGTGTTTTCTGCCTGGCCGACAGTCTTCCAAAAGAGCCCTTTTTGGGTTCATTTCTAGTCTCCTTCTTTGGTCCTCTTTGAAAAAGGGAAGGGAAAAGGAAGATGAAAGGGGGTAAAAAGGAACCAAAAAGGACTACCTTGAACAACCCTAATGACTCGGAGTGAGTTCCTGTTCTGACTGCTTACATGTAGCCCGAGTTTCTTCAAGCTTTGAGGGGGATGGTTGAATTGAAGCTTCAACATTTCAATCTTTATGTGACAGGCTTACGAGGATATACAGAAGGCGGCAGGCAGGTACATCCACAAAGGAGTTACATTCAGATCAAGCAACGCACATTTCACTTGATGTGCCGCCTTTGACAGCAAAGACGGCACTTGCCATTTTGGACTGTACCGGGCGTCGGCAAAGCTCTGTTCCGTAAGCAGGACACGTGTTTTCCGCCTTTTCCATTATTTTCTCCTACCACCAGCACTGCTCACCACCCAAATCCTCCCCCGACACGTCGAAAGTGCATCAAAATGGCCACCGAAGTGGGCGCAGGATCAAAACACACGCCGGCCGACCGAGAATACCTTGACAACCTGTCAGCACGTCTGCTGATGGAATTCCGGAACTATGTGTGTCGTCGCCGCGGAGTATGGACCAATATTCTGACGCTCTATATTAGGTATTCTCTCCCACCTATATCGCTCTCAATGCTGCAAAGTTTCTGGACCACAAATGGGTTGATATGAGAGTCCTCCGTGAGTTTCTTCAGCAGCCGGCTCAAAATCCACCCCCGACGCGTCAATTCGTCTCTGATTTGGTTCGCGTCAAAATCGAAGCCACCCCATTTTTGGCACCGGTGCCGGGTCCACCTATCCTGGTCAAAGCGGAGCCCCAAGTCGCGGGTGTGCTCCATGCTTCTTCCGATCTCAAGATGCGCTTTAGACGAAGGCGACCGCGAGGTTTTTGAACTATTTCGGATTCAGAACCTGAGGCCGACGACCAGGGTCAAATCTGGAGGTGATAGAGGTACTCCAGCGTACCTCTCGATCGTCCAGCGCAATCGCTTTGCCTGGTGCGTCGAACAGGTTCTCGGCGATAATTCTGACTCTGTAGAGCCAGATGCACGTTCTGAGTCCTCGGATGGTACGTAAATATTTTTGGCTTCCTCATTTTCTTCTGTTATATTGTCTGAATCCCCTGATTTACAGTGATGCGTGGCTGAGACGATGGAACTGAGTGTACAGGCATCTCTAAATCACAAAATCTGTTACTTGACTTGTCCCCACTTTATCCTTTGCACGATTGACGGTTGGAATCGAGTTACGGGCATCCTTCCGATCGCAAAATCTGTTACTTTAATTGAATTTACTTTTTGAACTCGTGGTATGGGGCAGATGTCCTGTTTCAGCGCCCCGTTTAGCGCCCACCGTTCGTTACCGCCGGGGTGAGGGGTGCCGAGCCCGGCACCGGCAATGGAATGTGCCGCCCTTGTTTGCAAGCACGGCACTTTCCCGGCTGATGTGCCGGGCTTGGGGCCAAAGTGCCTTGCATGAGGCAAAATGTACCGCCCTTGCAATGAATGTGCCGCAGGTGTTTTGTTGATCCCGCAGGCTTACAGCAGTGAGCTCAACTTTACGTTCCACGCGCAACGATGAGAAAATGAAATCAAAGACAAAAAACTCACTTCAAATCCACATTCAGACACAAGGGATCAAACCCTGGACTGCCTCCAACAGCCCGTAAGCATTGGATTTATAGTTAGAGGCTGTGTTCCCGCTACACCACATCTGAATTCCTTCCTACTAACAGTGGTGAGTTGTATCAGCTTCTTCAGGGAGGATGCAAGAGAAAGGAACAAGATGAACTTAATTCAGACACAGGGATTTGGCCACCGGACTACCTCTGAAGGCCTTGAGACAACAGCAATAATAAGAGGCTATGTTCCTGTTACACCATGTCTGAGTTCTGTTCCTGCTTCTATTGCAGGTTTTATTAGCTTGTTCAAAGGGAGAATGTAAGAAAAAAGATGGGCAAATCCGCGAGATTCAGACACAGGGATTCGAACCGTGGACTACCTCTGAAGCTATGAAGAGGCATGTGTAACATTAGAGGTCTGACTTCTTTCTTTCTTCATCCAAGTAGTGTTATTGGCGAGTTCAAGGAATGCGAATAAAAAAGTCATGAATAATTGACATGAACTCAGACACAGGGACTTGAACCCTGGACTGCCTCTGAAAATTGGGGCAGACCTTACAGCTTACAATTAAAGGCCGTGTTTCCCCTACACCATGTCTGAGTTCCTCTTGCATTTCCATGGTAGGATTTATTAGCTCGTTTAAGGAGGAAACTTAAGAAGAAAAGGAAAAACATCGACCAATCAACCATTCAGACACAGGGATTTGAGCCCTGGACTGCCACTTAAAGCATCGGCACCATATTCGCGCTTCAAGAGGCCGATGTCTGATTTCCTCTGCTCTTCCTGGCTGGACTCTATTTGCTCCGAAGTCGAACCAAGGTTGAACCTCCCGTCTGGCGCAGCGGCGCGGATAAAGCCGGAAGCAATTTGGCGGGTAAGTATGTATAAGGCTGTTGTCAGTGCCAAGCCTAGCTGTTGAGGTCTGCGAGTCCACCATCGAATCCACGATGGCGTCGAGCTCACCGTCGTCGCCGTCGAGCAAGTCACGGGCAACGTGTGTCGGCTCCCCGCATCAATGACGTCACCCGTGGCTGATTCCACCACCACCACCTACTCCGCCCTCGCCCAAGCGGCCCGCCCTCTCTGGCTCCGCGTCCTTCGAGCCCTCACCGACTACCTCGTGCTACACCCGGCGGCGTTTCCGTCATCCCCGCCGCCGCCGAGCAGTCCGCCCGACCCACCCTCTTACTGCCGCGCTCGCCCATCCATCCCCACATACCGCGTCGAATTCCCTTACCCCCCCCCCCCATCACCCGAGGAATATTTTCTTTCTTGCATCTGGACCCCACCTTTATCGTGTCCCCGACGCCCAAGTCCCCGCCACAAGTCCACGTCCGCCTCGCAAGCCTCATTCACTTGAAGGTGCGCAACCTTACATGCTTGCTAGTTACATTCACTCAATCGTCGATTAGCGGCGCTCAGTACATCACGCCCGCCTGCCTTCAAGTCCCTGCGGCGGGCTCGCATGCAGGTACGTACCTATACTCTTAAGTTCTTAACACCCGCTCTTGCGCGGCGTCCCTCCCGGACTACGCCCGAGTCGAGGGTGCCGCAGCCTCAAGGGGAATGCGCGCGGACATACACTGCGCAGCCTTGAGCGGGGCGTTAGGCGGCGTGTGTGTCGTCGCGAGGACGGAGCGCGTTCCGTGCCCGCCGCTGCACGCGCAGAGATGCGGCGCATGTCGTCCCAGTACACCGAAGCTGCGCGCGAACGACGCCCGCGCGACCACGGCGACTCTCGGGCGGCAAATCGGGTACGAAGCCAGCGTCCCGTGCCCCGCGCCCTCGCGCGCCCACGGTGGACGACGCGGCGGCGGTCGGGGGTGCACGTGCGAGTGCGGGGCGCAGCGCAGCACCGACTCCTCGCGCTCGCTCGGGGGTGCAAGTCCGAGGAGTAGCGCGCCGCGGGGGGTGCGGGGTACTGCAGGGACGTATCGCGCTCGCGGGGATGCGGCGGGGGATATTGTGAGCAAGGCGCGCGCGAATGGGGTGCGAGGACGAGGAGCGCGGCGCCGGCGTTGCGGCGAGCGTGTGCGCGTGCGGGAAACGCGCGGCGAGCGCTGCGCGGGACGGATGAAGCTACCGCGGTGCAGTGCGCACCACCCATTCGTCGCGCTCGCGCGGTGGACGACGCGCCCGCGGCGTTCGAGGGTGCAAGTACGAGGAGGAGCACGATGTGGGCGTTGGCGCGTGCGCCCAAATCCCCGTACTCGGCGAGCGCGAGATGAGGGCGCGTATGGGCGCGGGTGTGGTGCGCGCGCGCATGTACTACCCGGGGCGTGCTGCTACTCGCGTGAGGCGTTCCCGGACGCAGCAGCGCCGGCGGCGAGTCCCCCTGCTCGCGGGACTGCACCCAGCAGCAACGACCGGGTACCACACTCACTCCTTTATCCACTCACTCAGCCTTGCATTCAGCCTCACAGTGTCAGTAGCGTTTCCCGTATTTACAGTACCTCGTGCACGAGCATTACCCCGGTGCGTCCCTCTCTGCCCGCACTTTCATCTCCAGGCGGTGCGCCGCGAAGCGCTCGAGTCCCCGCGCGGGCCCTGTGAGTGGGCGCTGCGATTGCAGGACGCCCGAGCGCGGGGTTGTGGGCAGCGAGCGCCGGCGCTGGCAGGACGGGTGTGCGCGCTCCCCCCGCGACGCCCTCCTCTGGCACATGCAGGCGGGGAGCAGTATTCCGCGGGACGCGGACGAGCAGAGGTGCGACACTCTGTGTCTTCGCGGCGCGGCGGAATGCACGCGAGACGCGGACGCAGGAAGCCGCGCGGAGGATGTGCTGCACGGTGGCGAATGCGGAGGTTGCGGAAAGGGCGAGCACCACGCGGATGCGGGCTCGTCTCTTCGCGGCTCACGGCGTGCGCCGCGTGCTTCGCGGGGTCGAATCCGCGTGCGGCGTCCGTATCGAGGAACCACGTTCTGCAGTTTGTCCGCATGTACTGTAGTTCTTGAATACAATGTCATCTCAACCTGATTGAAGGGAGGAATCGCCGAGAAGCGGAGAGCGCGCGCGCGTACCTTGCGTATCTGGGAGCACCGCTCGTACAAGAGGGAGGCCGCGGCATGGATGCTCGATGTGCGAGAGCTCCGCTACAGAATGCAAAGTGAGATCTTATGCAATTCGGCATCGGATGGATTCACTTGCTAGGAGCTGGATCCAATCCCGGCGCGTTGGGAGGCAGGTCTAAGTAAATGGGATTGCGGCGGCATCTGAAGCGGGTTCAAGTCGGTATGTAAAGAAATAAAAGAGATTTTTGTGGCGCGCACTTGGTTCGGAATGAATGAAAGAGACTCTTTTGAACGTGAAGATCCTAGATAGAGGGCAGCGGGAGCATGGGCGGATGTAATGGGTAATTCAAAAGCACGGAATATATACTGTGCGTCGATGTTCATCGTCGACACTTCGACGCGAGGGTGTGCAGAGGGAATATAATTTACCCTGGGGGGAGCGAGAGAACTACCTGGCTCGGTTGAAATTCAACCCAACTCGGATCCAAGCCCTCAAAGGGATGCCTCGCTAATCTGGGACACAGTAAATGAGTATATGTATTGCAACCAACGCGAAATCTAACACATACCACACATCTGATGGAGTGGCTTGAAGACCAAGGGCGCATGCGTGGACCCGGGGTTCGGCTGAGGCAAGTACATCCCGGAGTTCAAAGCCGACGTAGATCTGCAAGTTCTGAACTGTCCGAATTGGGATGGTGTTGAATTCTTGTGGCGCTTGCCCGCGTTCGTGTGTGCTCTATTTCCAAGCGGGACGTTCCAAGGGACACAGGAGCAGTCCGTCTCCGTCGCAATTGATCCCCATTTTCGGGATAAGCGCTTCTGGACCCCAGTTTTTCGAAAATGCGTGCAAATGCAGTTGTCGCCGTTGTGCTGTCTCTGAGCGGCAGATAGGCGTAGAATCCGCCGAAATGGATGCACAAGTGGATTGGTTGATGCGGCTGTACTGCATAGTCGGCGGGCGGGCGAGATGCAGAAAACCGAGGTGAAGTTTGGAAGCAAGATTTGGGCGCTTCCTCCGATTCGGCGATCAGACGGCGAGTGAACTTTGCGCGTGTTTCGAAAACGACCATGATCACGTGACTTTGCTCACTTCTTCGTGAACCTCCGTCATGATCGCGCCTGCCCGGCTCATCCGAGCCAGGGATCCGAGATATCTTTCTGCTCAAACTTTTTCCGACTTTCAGCGGCCGGCTTCCTCTGTGAAAAGTCGCGTAACTACGCGCCGATCCGAGATTTCTAGGGTATTCTGTCAAAGCCTCCTACCCTTTCCTAACCCTCTTGTATTTCTACATCCCGCTTGAGACACCAGTCTGGATGTCGCTAGGTAAAGCGTGGTCTTGCTCAATGAAGCACGAGGATCAAGTTCAATATTTCTAGCCTCTTTCACTTTTCACCGCTTCACATCGCACCATCAAAGATACGTGTCAATGCACTCAATGCCCCGGGAGTTCACTAAGTATTTCTGTGCTTTCGAATGTTTCGACCGAGAGATCTTGCAGGGTTCATTTTCTTGGATAGCTGCTCGCAAGCATTGCTCTGGCTCGCGCGAACTAGTGCTACTTGAGCAGTGCATGTGCTGCTTAACTTGGTGAAGCGCGCCGTGCGCACCAGCGGCCAGGTTCCGTCCTAAATGATTGGTCTGATGCCGCTTCCTGCGCGTAGTTACGGAATTGTCTGTTCCTGCAACCAACCCACGCAATGGCTCTTGCTTCCGTAGTTCCCACCGCGCCAGCACCTCCGCACCCCCCGAATCGCGAAAAGCCGATGTATCGAGCTTCCACAAACCGCGCCAAAAGGTGTGTGTTCAGACCATTTTAAATGTGAATTTAGTCGTATTCTGACCCTCTCTGCAGCTCTTTTTGTCCCGGGAAAAAAAGCCGCCGGCAGGCACACCCCACCTTTAGTTGGAATGGAACATGTCTGCGACCTGACTGGTGAGCCCCCTGCACCGTCGCGGCGCCCAATGCGATTACGTAACGGATCGCGGCCCCGCGAGCGATGTTGAAACCCCCGTGAGCTCTCATTCTCAATGCTGTTTTGATGGCATTTCTGACGCCTAAAGCACCTCTTTTTCCGCTGGAAAAAGGCCGCCGGCAGGCACATTCCACTTTTAGTTGGAGTGGAACGTGTTTGCACGCTTCCACCACACCCGAGGCGCCGCGAAGCGGCACCAATACCGATTACACTATGTATCGCCGTCCCGTGAGCGGTGTCAAATTGCGGGCGGGCCCCATTCTCAATAGCATTTTGATGGCATTCTGACGTCCACCGTGACACCAGGCAAAGAAGCTGCAGGTAGGCACACTCCACCCTTAGCGTACTCAGACGGATTCGAACCTCCCCCGCGCCCGGAACGTTCCGCGGCGCCGACAGCGGTTCCACGATGTATTGCGTTCCCGCGAGCGGCGTGACATTGCGGGTGTGTTCTCCCTCTCTACATAAAGATAATAACATTCCGACGTACGCCCAGGCGCGATGAGATGGGCCGGCAACATCGCTTATACGACCTATCACGTTCCCGCGAGCGCCCCGAACATTGGGAATGCGAGTTTCTATCATCTCACACACAATCCAGGCCTTTTTTCTT